AAAAAGTTATTGAAAAGGAAATTGGCGTCTGCAAAACAAACCGACACGTCAAAAAAGATGGGCGACAAACAACCTTTAAATGAATCCATCGATAACGAGGATGTGACTTCAAATGACGTCACACCAGGTGAATATTCGTTACTCTTTCACACGTGCAGAAATTTCTATTAAAAAGGTTGCTCTTTAGATAAATAATTAAATATATTACGTCAATGGTTATTTCAAAGACGTATCTTTGCTATACAAGAGCTTTGCCCTCATATTAAATGAAAGTTTAAGTACCAGTCCACATAAAAATCAGACAAAATTGTATGAAAGTGATACATGAAGGTTTTCAGAAGTCGATGATTTTTTCATTCATAATTTTCTATTGCAATATGAACAATGTGTGCAAAATGAAAAATGTTTTGAGTCATGGTTACCATGGGAACTTGGCCAAAGAAATTTCCTTAGCAACCGTCAAATTTTTCCATGTTGATGGACAAAAAATCACCTATCTTTTAGGCTTAAGATAAAATGTAAATACCATGAGAATTATTGTTACTTACTGGTTTAATAAAGATACGCATTCGAAGTGTTTTAACAATGCAATATAAATATTTAGGTCTTAAATTAGTTCTTTGCTAGACTGTTTCACGGTAACTTTTGCAGGGCAAAATGATATAGTTTGGTGAAATGTGACGTAAAAGTAATTGTTAAATAATAAATATACGTCCTTTGATTATCTGTCAACAAAAACTTCGCTAAACGTTATTATTTTGCCCTGCAAAAGAGCAGTATCGCAGTTACCGTGAAGGGGCAAGATACACATGTTTTGCCATATTTGCTGATTCATCATTTTTCTTGATTTTGGCAATATTCAAGGCCAAATTGAAAAAGAAGCCATATTAATATAGTTGTTGCGTCTATTTCACAAAAAGGCAGAGAAATTTTTCTTTTAGAATTTGAAGTCAAATCCATGGGCCTTTTTGAAAATCGAAACAGTTGTCTAGCAACAAATATGGGTGTTTTGATAGATAAAAAGAGAAAAAAAATTACGGAAAAAATCAGATGAATTGTTATCTATGTAAACGAGAAACAAATTTTGAAATAGTACAATTAACCTTGAACTTCCTAGCAAATTATTGAATATTGTATAATTGTTTATTTCCACAGCAATAATAAGTTTTCCATAGCAACGAGACAAAGAAAATTAATTTTGACAAGCTTTCATGTAAACTCATTAAGACTTATTCAAATTAAGTCAGAAAAATGTGGTTGAGCAAAATTGACAATGAAATGTTGGTCTTACTAAAGTTTTTTTTTTTTTTTTTTTTTTTTTTTTTTTTTGGTACTTAATCAACCCATGGCAACGATTCCCAGTACATAACAAAAAATGTGTCCTAGGCCTCCTGTAAAACTGGTTTGACTTTGGAATCACATTCTTTGTCATGGGAATGAATATTTAATTAATGTGTTGATAACTGTATATTTTGAGAGTGCGGAAATAATATAAAATGTTGTAGCAAATTATTGAATATTGTACAATGACTTGTTTCCATAGCAGCAACACCACTTCCCCATAGCAACGAGGCTATGAAATTTTTTTTATTTGATTCAGTATATACTTTTAATAACACTGAAAATTCCGGGCGGGGGGGATCCGGACCCCCCCCCTCTAGACCCCCCGACCCCCCTCTAGATCCGCGCATCTGGCATGGACTGGTACTTAAAGAAAAGCAATACTTCATCTATGATCCATAATCTACGGACATTTTCCTTTATTGCGTATTTTAACATTTTAGAAATACATGTAGCGAACTTTTCATTATCTTTCTCTGTATTCTTTTGAACCCAAATGATATTTTCCAATATATTTTTGATAAAAGTTTATATCTGATATATTTCAGAGACGTGTTCTAGTGAGAGAACATCATCGAGTGTTAAACCCACAGGTGCTCAAAAATTCCAAAGAGGTATATACATGCATCCTAGATAAACTAAATCTGCTTGTAAAGTTATGTTGATTCTTTCAAGCTTTGTGAACAATATATGTTTTATCTACAGAAAACTGCATATCAGAAAAGGAAGAACAAAGCTCCAAATCCGTTAAAGATTCGCCATATAATGAAAAGCAGACAATCATTGAAACATGTGAAAAGACGAAAGGCTCTACTACCGAAATGATTTTGGAAATGGATGACTCTAAACAAATTAATAATGTTAAAACAAACGGTTCCGGGACTTTTAGTCGAGACGATGATCGAGTAATTATTGATTATGAAAATTTCCTAGAAACTTCTGAATATGGCAATAAACCAAAAAGAAAAGGAAAGGTTATATTTCTCGAAGACAATGAACAGTTTATAGGCCAAAATGTTGAATCCTACCAAGTCAATCAGAACGTTAAACAAACGGAACAATCAAAGAATGCGTCCTTACAAATATTTAATGAAATTGAGGCAGACAAACTAGAAAGTGTGCAAAATGAAAATGGTTTGTTTGATTCACCATCTGCACAAAAGTCGAGAGAGAATAAAGAGACAGCAGAGGTGGATAGTTTATCCCAGAATGATTCAGTGGTTACAAAGGTTTATGTTGTGGACGCTAGCTTTTCGGGAAAAGATATTCAGGAAAAGGACAAAGTGGATACAGGGGTAAAAATGAAACGTAAAGCATCAGGTAATCGAAAAGATCAACCAGTAAGGATCGACATTGAGGTTGAAACTAACAATACCTTGGCTTTACGAAAAAACAAAACGAACTTGAGAAAGAGTATTTCCGAGAAAAATAAAAATAATGTAAATGTAAAAACATTCAATGATACAAAATATGAAAATAATAAGGATAAAGAAGAAATAATGAAAGAAAATATAAACACCGAGAAGATAGCAGTAAAAACTCAAATATCAGGAGAAGCGGAAACTCAAGTTCTAGAACCCCAGTCATCTACGGAGAGATTCAGTAGTCTAGATCAAGATGCACCAGAAAATCATTCTTCGCTGGAATTGTTAAGAGCTGGTGAAGTTGAACAATGCCTGGACAAGAGATTATCATCCGCGATGGCGTCAACTTTTGACCAAGAGCAAGAAATGCATGCTGAAAAAGACAAGAGATCTGAAAAGAAAAAGAAGAAGCATGCATTAAAGGATGATCGTAATAAATTTATTATGGTCAATGACGCGGACAATACTGCACATAAGAGGAAAAAGTCTGGAAAAGTAAAAATTGGTAAAATCAAAGGGAAATCTAAAGGTCATAAAGACTCGTTGAAAACAAAGGTTCAAAAGAGCAGTTCTACTGACTTAAACAAACACAACAAAATAAATGAAATACCTTACGTAAACGGCCTTTCTAAAAGTGAAAACTTGAGTATATCAGATGATTTTCGGGAAATTAATTCCGTCAATGAAAATCAGCTAACAGCCGTTCAAGCATGGGCTAGCGTAGATGTGGAAATAGATAACGATACACACAAATGTAAGTTTTCAAATTAATGTGATTAAAAAAAAGTATGGCTTGTCAGCTTTGGTACCAAATAATTTCCACTTTCAGCAAGAACATGGTTTCAATACATTCCTGTTTAAACGTTATGATTTACATATAAACTTCAATTTTGAATATATAAAGTATTTTGGATTTGGCAAAAATGAAGTCCATCTAAAATTTACAAGTAAGGGTTTAAAAACAGACCATTTACATTGTACTTCTTCTTCACGGTTCTGTTTAAATTATTTTTTTTAAAAAATGATATTTTTATTCATTTTCATGAAAGTTAATGACAAACACAGCAGTCTTACATATCATGAAGATGAAGATACTATTCCCTATACATATGGTGGAAATGAGGATGACGATCTAAACAACATGGACTCTGAAGAATTGCTGGAATTAAGACCCGTCAGCTCCCTAGCTCCATTATCTACACTGATGAGAGAAGAAACTTCATCGTCATTCATATATCAAAATTACAAAATAGTACAAAAGTCGGCGGATTTTGAAATTCATCCTGAACACGTGTCTAATGCTATGAAAACGACGGGATTGAAAGGTAGAGTATGCAGCTATCAAATCTGTGAAAGGAATTTATGTACTATGTGCCATGTCTCCTTCCCCACAGTTTTTGCGCTTTAACAAGCTCGTGAATATAAAACATGTACTGCAGTCAAAAATTGTTCTTAGAAATTAATTCCATGAAAATATGGATAAACTGCAGCCATGAGAGCCATCATAATTCTGTATAGTATACAAGAGTTGTAATTTCAGCAAAGTCTTTGAACTATACTTAGGGAAAACAAAGTTTTGCCATTGAAAGTTTTAATCTACATTTGCAGGATCAGAAGATTCAACTTCTTTAACAAAGGTGGACGAATCGCTGTCTTCATTGCAAATTCTAGACATTGAACAGTAAATTTTCCGAAGTTTCTGAATAATGTAATTGGCACATGCTATCAGAGAGATTTACTGTGAATTTGCGTTATTCATTTTGAGGGAAATTCTTTCGAACATTTTTTTTTAATTTTCTTTTGGTGTGAAATATGCCATGTGGTTTTGTTCTGTAGTAAAGAGACAAAAATATATTAAGGGTTGTACTTGTTAACGAGTAATCAGTTCCACGGATGGTTTTTTAATATTCCAGATTGTCATCTCATTAATAGATTAGCGATACCCTCGGACAAAGTTCCAGTTGTTTGATGTATGTTTTGTCAAATCATCTACTTGATCAAACAACTGATCCTGTCTAAAAATCCCTCTTTAAGATGGATTTGCAGATTACAGTGACCCGAACAATAAGTGCATTATTTTTTTTAACTGTAAAAATGATAAACTTTTAAATTATGAAACCTTAAAATATCAAAAGCTATATATATTCAGAATTAAATAAAAAAAAAAAAACAGCAACAAAGTCTAATTTGAATTGAATTTTTTTTTCTCATACATATGCGATATCATTAACTGCGATTTAAATAAATTTGCGTGTTCTAATTAAAGTCAGTGTGTCACTTGTTCATTAAGTGTGACCAAGATTATATTTTTAGATAAGATTTTTGTCAACTGTGATTTTTCACGCGAGAATTTTCGAGATCAAGTTTCGGTCAACTGCGAGGACAAAGGCTTTGCTTTGTTTTAAACTACATGTTTTCTTTGTTTGAGAGCAATCCACTAAAATGGATTTTAGTTTTCGTTTTTCTTGATTTTGCAATAAGCATAAATTCTACAGGTAAGTTAATGTTTTCCATTCTTGATTTCTATTTTTTAAATGTTCCTATGCCCTGTCATTGCATATACAATTGTCTTTTATATTGCGTTGTAGAATTCTGGGGAAAAACATGATAGTTGCAGTATAAGTCTAAGAACAAATCTAGTGGTAATTAAAAAAAACAAAAAACATCTGATCGGTATGTCTTGATATTGATAGTTTTTGATTTGCCTGTAGACATAGTAGTAACATAGAAGTTTCTCTACCAATATCAAAATAATGTTTGTGTGTTTTTTAAAAATATTTATTTTTCACATAATCCTTTAATGATATGGTGAGTGACAGTTCGACTTTTACAATATCTGCAGTATAATTATTTTCATATTACAGATATTCAATTGGTAACATGGGAATCCTGGGGAGAGTGTAACGTCACTTGTGGCCAGGGTCATCAAACAAGGTCACGCACATGCCCCGACTTAAAAACCATAAATAACTGTTCGTTGTCCAGCTCAGAAATCCGAATTTGCTTTGGAAGGCTTTGTATTGGTGAGTCATTAATAAAAAAAAGTTTTGTAATATTGAGAGCTCAAACTGTATTCAATAATATCAACGAATTTCTAAAAAAAAAAAAAAAAACTGTTCTTATTTTAGGAAAAACAAATTCTTCAAGAAATCACAAAGAATCTAGAGAGGATAATGACGAGGCAAGCGGTAATGCCATAAATAGCGCTGTTTATAGCTCGTTGATCTTCATCCCAGGAATCATTGGTTTCGTTTTTGTTTGTATACGAACGCATCGTAAAACAAAAATGGAAGAACAACGATTGAAGGATATGGAGAGACGTAAACTTTCCCTTCAAGATGACGTGACATGACGTATTGTTTTGAGATCGGTTCCGAGATTGCAAGGGTATAACTTTGAAGTACGTGAAAAAGAAATACTTGCTCTGCGAGGGGATATTGTTAAAGTGTTTTAATTGACTTAGAAGAGTTTCACTCTTCAAGTTTTGTATGTTGATTTTGAAATAGAATTTCGAACTATTATTTTTTCAGTCTTCGTCCTTTATTTCAATTAATATATTATATTCATGTTATATGTGCAGTAAAAAATGCAAGATATAAATAAAATAATGCCTTTTTATTGTAAAATTACATCTGGAAAAATTTCTGATTATTCGTTGTATTATGAAATCCTTGTTTAGAAATAATTTGTAAGAATAATAAAAAAAAAATATGTCATTCATCAATGAAATCGCCAAAAAAAAATTGAAAGTAAGTCTTTTAATACCCTGAAAGATTTTCTCTCAATAACTTCAAAATAATTCTGAAAATATAACCAGGCAAGCTCTTAGGAACACAAAGTACTGAAAGTCGATGTACACAGGGAGCTAGGGGTGCTGCAATACAATGTATACGCTTTTTTGTTTTAAAACCTTAAAAAAAGACTCGCCTAATTAAACGATTACAAATTATTGGCAAAAATCTCGAGCCCTTTTATCCTTAATGGAAACGAGGATTAGTGTTTGTAATTAGACTCTGGAGACCAAAATTAATGATCGAGGGATTTGTTTTCAACTGGATTTGGACGAAAGTTTCAAATCCAACGCAGATGTGATGAAAAACATTACAACTAATGAGACCCCCACGTAACACAGAATTCAAGACAAATATCTGAAACTACAAACTTTTAATATTCCGTAGAAGAGAAAGTAAATAATAAAACAAAATAACCAGGACGTACTTTTTTTTATATGATATGGTTGACTTTGTCAGAGTTAAAAATGAACATCTAAAACTGATGAGATTTCATTTCAAGAAACCAGAAAACAATTGAGGACAAAGAATACCCCATACGTCTGTCATTATTATTTACAGACATTAACCCAATAAAAGCAGAAAATGAAAAATAGTAAAATACATTGTATCTTTAAACATTGAATACTTAATATAAAGATTTTAGTCAGTATTATCTTACTCATCGTCGCAAACCACAGCCAAATTGTACGATCCTCTCCCATTCTGGCAGTGGTTGAGAAGAGAATATTTCGTAGCTCATTCAAATATTAACCAATGCGAGTTAAGCATAGTCGGAAAATGATAAATGTACGACCTTTCAATACGCAAGCGCAGTTTACGTAACATTCCTTGTTTATTTTTAATTTCAATCGCGATAAAACTAATTATTTTCATTTTTTTTTTCATTGGTCAACACGAGTCACACTATGGGGGCGTAATTTTCAAGATTACAATTACGATTACGAGCAAGGTAGGAGAGAGCTACATGCGGACTCCGGACCGTGGCTTGAGACAATGTAATTCACTTTAAAATACGGACATGAATCGAATCAGTTATTTTCTGTGGCTTCAACAAAATACCGGGTAACCATATGGACTTTTTGTACAAGCCTACAATAAATATTTATAATATAACCTTTGAGATATAAACATAAATTTTGCTCAATGCACAATAACTTCTATAAAGAGAACATACAATTGTATCTGCAAAGTATAACAGAATTCTTAGTTGTTTCCGCTAAAAGAAATGCTTAAGACCATTACTTTTGAACTTTGATATTTACGTCGAAACCAAAACACGCCGACTAGAGAGTGACAATTTAGTATATATTTGACTGTGGCAACAGAGGTATAGCCTGGAGAAAATTTTGAGCAACAACTACAATGGCCATCACCTTAGAGAACTGACTCCTGGTCATGACAAATCGGGTATGCAAACACAACAAATGTGTGACCTAGTATATATAATTTTCTCTATATATCCCTTTTCAGTCCACTGATAAGACATCTGGATCACTTCAGGTCTTATTTCACTTATTCATCTCCACCTCTTTAATTTTTCACCATGAGTCCTTGGAGCTCCTCTTTTTTTCCCTTGTGAGTTCAGGTTTATCACCTGTCTTGTGATAAGCTGGATTTCTCAGGGTATGACTTATACATCTACATTTCTTTTTCATGATTACTCTCCCATTGTTATGTGGTCTGTTTCTTGAATACTTAGTTTTTATTCCGTCTGACCAGCTGGTCTTTAAAAGATTTCATCTGAGGCAGTACTAGTAGTTGATCAATGTGTCTATGGGTTGTTTACCTGGTGGTTCTCTAGTTTCTGCTCTAAATGGTAGGACTGAATAACGTTGTTCTCAGCTTTGTTCTCCCTAATATGACGTGAAGGAATAATATTTTTCTGCAGCATTTTAAAAATTAATACCACTTCAACTTAATTCACTCTAAATAATTTTTTTATTCGAGAGAACTTTATTTTTGCGCAATTACACGAGGCGGTCTGCTCGGAAAAATTTCATTCTAGCGTTTATTTTTATTAAGCTTAGGATATATACAGCAATTACCGGCAATCGTGAAAATTATGTCTCGCTTATAAATACCAAATACCTATAGCGACGCAAAAGTGTCGCAAAAATTTGTTGATCTACAGTATAATGGTTCTGGTGTATTCATCTGATCTTCCATTAACACTCGCAATATTTCCTTTATCATGATAATACTATTGTTTCAACACTTAATTTTCATAATTATGGTTTTCTTTACATTCAGACATAATACTAACTTGTTGACATCTGCTGTCATAAATGTTATTCTTTTCCTGTATTAACTTGTTGTTACTTGGGGGGGGGGGGATTGTTATCTTAAGATCGAGATCGTCCGGCTGTTGCAATAGGGTATACTGAATCCCATGTCGTTTCCCTTCTTAAGTTTCTTATTCATGACCAAGTCTTTGGTCAGTTCGAAGAGAATAGGTGTCACCATACAGCTTGTTCCATCTGATGTTAACAGTGAAGCTTTCGAAAAGTATCTCAACATGTAGATAATTGCATGACATCTTTTTGTATGAGGCCTGTATAATTCGTATTTATTTGTTCTACCGAGACTATAAAATACTTTCTCAAAGTCACTGAAATTAGCACATAAAAATGATCTCTAAGTATGGCGTCCACTTTGCGTTGAAAGCACATTGGGATTGTCTTATCAAAGTCTTTTCCAACCACTGACATTAATTAGCGAGAATTCTCCTTTACTTCCTACATTTTGAAAGGTCACCATTCTATAGTTGCTTTATGATAAAACTGTCAAACAATTCTGATAGTGCTATTTCTTCATCCCAGTTTTTTTTCCTTTTTAAAGACCGTCACGGTAACTCAGTCGGTATACAGTGCTCGCTCCGTGATCGGAAAGGCATGGGTTCAAACTCCGGCCGCGACTGACCTAAGTAGATAAAAAATTAAAGGGAGCAACTGTTCCTTCGCCAAGTGTTCGGCACTTTGAAGTGAAAGTGCTGTGGGTCTTTCGGATGAGAACTTAAAACCCGAGACCCCGTGTCACGGCAGGCGCACTACTCAGTAGCCCTGAGTGTCGAGTAAAGGTCTAAATTCATCGCAGAATACGGTGACGTTTCTCTATGTTGTTTGTTTGTTTGATGTTTAACGTCCCTCTCGAGAATTTTTCACTCATATGGAGACGCCACCACTTGCCGGTTGCGGGCTGCAAATTTTGACCTATACTCAGTACTTAGGGTCATTGAGCAGTGAGGGATCTTTTTCGTGCCAGCACCTACTGCAACACGGGATCTCTGTTTATACGATCTGATCCGAAGGACCGACCTCCACGTCCCGCAGTGGATTCGAACCCGCGACGTTAGGATTAACTCCTTACATTGCGACTCTAGAGCAAACGCTCTAACCACTGCGCCACGCGGGCGACCGTTTCTTTATGAGTGAAAATTTTTTGCACAGGACGTAAAAAAAAAAACATGCAATCAACTTGTTGTAAAAAATGTCAGTTGAAAAAGCTGAATTTACTCTGAGAGCCTCTAGAGGTATAGTGTCTGGTCCGGCTTCTATAACACACCTTAGCCTCCTAATTTTTGCTCGAGCTTGGGCTTTCAGTCTGAAATTTAGTTTTGTTGGACTTCCGTGATAATTGGTGTGTTTTTGTTGCGTCTATTGCAAAAAGTCTTTAAAATTGGTCCATGTCGGGGGGGGGGGGGGCACGCCCCTCTTTTTCTGAGAAAAAAATATTTTTGCTATAATGAATTTTCTTAAGATGCTGCCCCCGACTTTTTTTTGAGGTAAGTTTAATCACTGACAAGTTTCAGGACTAGGACAGTCAGTTAGTTTTTTTTAATATGAGAAGTTGCCTCCCCCTCCCTCTCCACCCCTCCCACACACTCTTGGTCTTTTTTTTTTTTTTTGCTTGTCAGATTTTTTTTTTGGGGGGGGGGTTCCCCCCTTTTGAAACCGTTGCTACTGGCCAAATACTGCAACTGCAGAAATTGAACTCGCGGAAACTTTCAGAGGTCTAAGCACAAAAAACTTCCATCTTCAGGAAAAAAAACCCCCGTTGTACGGTATATAAATTACAGTCGTAACACAAATGCAGTCGAGGACGAACGAATTTCTATGTACCCCCACGTATTTCGGATTTTCATGAGAAAAAAATTGAAAATTTTCCAGAAAAGTGCACATAAACTTTGAACTTAGTTGACTTAATCTCATTGTTTGGTTACTGCAACGATAGTTCTTTTGGGTTATAGATGTAGTTTTAGAATACGTACATGTACGATATTTCCATGCATGTTAATATAAATAATTGTCTTCATTTTCAGTTTATCTTGCAACTGGTTAGCAATTAATTTTCATGCATTGTAAGTTGGAAAGTGTGTAAATTGCTCCAAGTTTGCGGTTAAAAATATTGAAGCAGAGATACCTTCGACATTCTCGATGCAGCAGGTGAGATTATTCTGCAGTTATGGTTGTGAAATTATTTAAAATAAATATGGTGATATATTCGTCTTCCTTATTTAACATAAAAATTTAAAGAATGGCAAAATTGTGCGAAAAACACGTTCAAGTTAATACATACAATGTTTCCTAATATTGATCTTGGAAACCGTTGTCATAGAAATAACAAATCAGTAATTGCTTTTGTATATTGATGACTATGAATCTATCGCAGTTTATTGTAAACTCAAACCTAAAAGTACTTGGATATTTGGTCTGTGCTAATCAGAGTAA